GGGGGGGGGGGGGTGGGGTTTTTATTGTTTAACTGCCTTCATTGGGTTGGCCTCTTGCCCTGCCTTCCACTCAAGGGGGGGGGGGGGGGGGCGCAGATTGATGACAAAAAGAAGATAATTCATTGCTAGTATTCAGTGGGTAGGAGTCGTTGTCTGTGGATGGAAAAAATAAGTACACGGTACTGTATGTGCGAGACAAGAAAAACACCACAATGACGACGCCAGCGAATGTCTCAAAAAAAAAAAAAAGGAACAACAAACGCTTTAGATATGTCCCGACCTCCGCGAACGATCCAAAGAACGACCCTCAATACCTCCAGAGAACGACCCCCCGCCACACTCCTTCCACACCAAAAACCTAGACGCCTCTCAACGACAACTTCACCCGCCGATGCTGGGCTGCGCCTCGTCGAAAGTGCTATGGCCGAAGCTGCCGACCTCGCTAACGGCCCTCTCAGCCACACGGTTTTGTTCTCTTTCGTGAAAAATTAATTCATCATCGTGCTCGGATAACCACGACCTCATTGGGCACCTGCTTTGCAAGCGGAAGCGACAGGAAGGAGCACAGCACATAATGAAACTCGCCTGATCAAACTCTCCTTGCCGCGGCTCCACCTTCGACCACTCGATGCTGAACCTGAAAGCACGTCGCATCAGCATTTCGCGGGACAAGTTTGCGTGGAGAAAAAGAAAAAAAAACGAAAACAATCGTGGCCAAAGTGTGGAAACTTTTAGACGTGAGTGTGCCATCAATGGCTATATGCAGTATTACGCACAAGTTCATACACGTACAATTTCTACCCTTCCATGTCATCTCAAGTTGGTGGGTGCGGCATTCGACAACAGCATCCGTGCAGCATGCAGCCTTCGTGCGTGCTTACGAACGAAAAAAAAAAACTGTGTATCTTCGTTACACGCCCTGCCTTCACCTACCTGTAGCTGCCCACCCCGAGCCCTTGGATCAGCCTCAGGTCCTCCCCCAGCCGGTCCCAGTGCTCGCACGCCTTGCCGCTCTTCGCCCCGCCCTTGACCGTTGGGGGCTGCCCCTCGGGCCTGGTTTGTTAAATTTCGCGAATGCAGCCGTGCACGCCGATTGTTTTGGTCCAACTCCATAGGAATGGTCGCGACGTGCTGTGTTTGCTGTGCTGTGGTGATTACTTCAGCAGGTCGGGGTGTGTACTTCAAGGCTTGGTTGAGACAGATTGAACAATGTTGGTGGTGCTTCGGACACCTCCAGACACCGCATGTACGGGGGCATGCATGCAGACATACAAGTGCCGACACCGAGCCTTATTTTTTGTTCATCACTTTACATCAGCGCTCACAGCATTTTCTGCCTAGTAGCCCTAGTCGGCCGCCACATAGTAAACGCTCCAAATGCCAGAAAACAGCCGCAACAAATGCTCGTCTTATGCAACCCCATTTCCTCTTCGTTCTTGGCCGTCACTCCCCACCTCGATAGAACTAGCGAGCGGACACATTTTCATCTCTGTACATGTGTCGCGCCAGGTGTCAAACTCTGTGCTCTAACATCCAAACCTCGCACCCACACCTCTCACTGAACTTGAATCTGCAGGGCCCCCAAACTAACGAGACCTACGTACTATTTATTATAGCTCTCTTACGCCGCACCACGAGGAAGTTGAACAGCACAACCCAACCACAAAAAAATCCCCCCCAACCGATTCAAACTACGGCATACATGGCTATGAGGTACCCCCCCAACGGGTTCTAACGAAATCGAGGCATTGGCAGGTTCGTCACTGCTGCTACTGTGGTTGTGAAAAAAACAAAAAAACGTTTCGTCCAAAATACGAAAAAACAAACATAATGTTAAGTATACCATTGTCATAAAAGTTTAAATTACCTCTCGGTGTTCTCCCATCGGCTCCACTGATTGTTGTCGTTTCCCCCCTCGATCTGGTGCGCCGCGGTCGAAACGCCCCACAGGAAACCCTCCGGGAACCGCAGCTCGTCGGCCCCTGTGTCCAGGTGGTGCCACTTCCAGTACAGGGGCCGCCTCGAGGCGTTGGCGGCGGTAAGAAGGGAGACGGCCACGAAGCAGGCTGCGGACCAGGCCGCGAGCGCGAGGGACTGTGTCCGGGTGACAGGGACGGCGGCGGTGGCGGCGGCCGCGGCGCGCCGTAGCATGGTGTATAGTGGCGCGGGGGAGGGGTGGGGGGGCAACGACAGTCGGTTGGTTATCTAGCGCGGTGGACGCCAACAATAAAGAAAGAGACGCTGAGAAGAAGCTGGGCAGCAGCGCAGGGGCCAAGAGAGGAGGGAAACGGGGTATGGCGGCGGTTGCGCCGGAACATAGTAGTGGCGCGGGGAGGGGCGGGGGCAACGGCAGCCGGCCAGCGCGGTCGACGCCAACAAAAAAGATGCAGACGATAGCCCATTTCTCCCATTTCTCCGGCCGGTTTTCTCCCACTCACTGTTGTAAAGACTGCAACACATCCCTACCGACTGCTATGTCTCGAACGGGTATTACCGGATATGACACAAGATAACACACCTACATAAGAAAGCACACCCCCCACAGAATACGACACCCCGGTGATAGTTTTGGGCGCTTCTGACAAACCATCGATTTATCACCGGGGGTACATAAGATAACACACCCCAGTGATATTTTTTGTTGCGCCGCATATAGTCACGGGGCCCCTCCTTCTTTATCACCGGGGTGACAGCATCTGCCCTGGGCAATCACACACACAGCCACGGCATCTGTGTGAGGGGAAACACCCCGCATGGAGACCCCCAACAACATGAACGTGCAGGCAGATCAGAATGCAGCCGCAAGTACCTCCGCTCCTTCGACAACTACTTCGACTGCAGCAGCGCAGGCGCCACAGCAGATCACCTCCTTCTTTGGGCCCGCGCACACCTCTACGCAAGAGGCTCCTACTCCTGCTCCTGCTGATCTAACAGCAGCAGGAGCTGGAGCAGCAACAGGCGCCAACAGGACGTGCTATCACACCCGCTTTTATCACACACCCTCATTTATCACCCCCCCAAACACACGCTGTGGGTGTTCGGACGCGCTATCACACCCCCTTAGGGGCTCCTGCGAGCTGCACTTTATCACCCAGGGTACACAAGATAACACCCCCCCCCACAGGATACCACACCCGGTGATAATATTTTCACTCCAAAATGTTATAACCGGGGTGTGTTTTCTTGTGTCATTTACG